AAATTACTATCTCTAAGGTTTACGTTAGTAGTATATATATATATATATATATATATATACATATATATGTATATACATATATATGTGTATATATATATGGAAATATGCAGTTTAGTTGAGAAACTAATTAAGACATGAAAAATAATATTTCTTTATTGATTTTCGTCATTATCCCTCCTTTCCAGTTTAATGTTATTTTATTCAACAGCGATTTTTCTGGTACGTGAACCGTTTCGGAAGGTATTTCTGGCAAGTGAGGTACCATTGTCGGTTGTCATTACACATTTGTGGCTTGCGTAAGTTTTTTTCTATGCATTACAAAATCCATTTGCCATAGCTTATGTTACGTAATACAACCTTCACAAGATTTCTCAAGGAACAAAATTTTTCAATCTCTCTGGCTTAATTTTAATTTGTCGCAATATTTCAGGCCATTAATTTCCCCTTTGATAGTCGCTATGTTGTATCTATGTTTCTGGTTACCTTTTTCGTCTGTACCAGACGCTTCATTGGTGCCATCATATGCTGTAGCATTGTCAATGTTTGGACTTTCCGCTTGGCTAGAATCGTTCGCCGAACCTTATGTCATATTGTCGCTACGATTCGGTATGGATGTGCAGTACGCATTTGCCCAAGGTTTCTTGGTGATAACGCAACGAGTTTTTGTACTCATTCTAATTATTACGGTGCCGATGTTACCCGTTTATGCATTCTGCTGCGCACAGGTTCGTTTGAAAAAGTAGAAAGTTAACCTATGGCAAGATAGAGATAAGAACATTTCGAGAAAAAGAAAAAACTTGAAGGAATAATCAAAAAAAATCGCATAAGAAGTAACAAAGGCAGCCTAACTTGACGAAATTTAAATTTCAAAGAGGAAATATCATTACCATATGCTTGAATTTCTGTTGTGCCTTAGTCATGCGAACCAAACCTCGCCGGTTACTCTTTAAATATGACGTTTTATGGAAAATCACTTTTTTTATCACCACATTTGCTTATACTTATTTATTCCTAGTTTCTCGCCAACAAATGATCCATTACAATAATTTGAAGGTTCTGTCATCTTTCTGTTACACTGCTTTGTGCATATATCTATTAGTATCTGGCATTCGGTCTGTCGCATCATCTGTCGGAAGTTTCAGCGTGATGTCACTTTATCCAAGTTTCCCTAAAGCCTTCTCGAAAGAGGTGCTTTTTCACTTTTTTTTGGAATTCATTACAATTTATTTGTTTTGCTATAAATGGTCTAAGGTAATTTCGTACATGCATTATATGGATGTTATCATTGAAGCTAATAATGAAAGTTAAATTTTCAGAGTTGTTCTATATTGGCAGCTTTTACTATTCATTCCATTTTTAAGCAGGTTATTACGAATGGTACTGGCTACGTGCTTACATTCACAAATTTCTTTCCCTTATCAGATCAAGGCTAGATTTATCAGTTTTCAGTCATGTCTCAATTCAATTGAATTCAGTTTAGCGTAGATGCAGTTTCCTATCAGTTATTCAGCACATTTCATTCGTAAACTTTTTTTATTTGAAAAGAGTTTTAAAACCTTATTACAATTTTTTTGTTTTTAGCGGTTTTCGATGCAGTCGATAAATTGGGAAGTTTGGTTGCACGCGTCATTTTTGCACCGCTTGAACATTCTGCTTATTTGTATTTCTCCACTTGTCTTCGACGAGCAACTTCGGCGAAAGACCGACTGGAGGTATATTTACTGTGGGAGCATTCTAATTTTGAATTTTTCTGTTGTTACCTGGTAAAGTGATGATGCGGTATTATTCGCTTTGGCTTTTGTTTAAATTGCTTATTTATCCTGAATGGAAGGTGCCTCCCAAGCTTCAAGTCTTTTGTCATTATGTGTCTATTATTCTCTCTCGCCTATATTTCGCTAATTTTCAGTTTACAGGTGCATTTTTTTAATTCATCATTTGCAGACTGATGTGAAAAAAGGAATTAATGCAATGAATAGTCTTTTGCATATTGTTATTTTGGTTGGTACTGTGATATTTATTTTTGCAATATCCTACTCTCCTCTTGCTGTCAAAATATATGGTGGCACTGTATTAATCAGTAATGCAGGTAAGTCTCTTGAGAGTATTAAATTAGCCGTTAATTAGGACCAGACTTCAAATTTTGAGAAAAAAGAAATTGGCGTGAAAATCGAAAAATTCCGAGTCATGTTAAAACACTCATTTCTCATTTTTTTACTGCTTCTGTTTTACTTGATTTCGCTTTAATTCACCTTCTGCTTCTTTAATTTTTTTTGCACATAATTCTTTGTTTTATGCTGGGTGTTTTTTCACCTTACCTTAATTTTGGCCAATATCAACGATTTTTTATTCTCTATGCAATATTTTATATATATATTTTTTCTTTCAGGCGCAAATATTCTGCGACTTTACTCCTTTTATATAATTGTCATTGCAGTCAATGGTATCACCGAGTGCTTTGCCATGGCAACAATGAACGAAGAGGAGGATTTTGTGCGCTAATGTTGATCTTTCTCAACACTGCTTCAGAACTTAGTCTCTGAAGGATGCATTGTACTGCAATATATTGCAAGATTAACATGCCGAATACTTATCCTGGTAACTTGCCGGTAACTTGCCAAATGACAGTTACCTAATCATCATTATATCACATGAAGTGAGATCATTATTATATCAG